CTCAAACTTCCCCCAACCCCCCATGTCATGGCTACACCCCCCAAGCCATGAGACCCCGAGGTCCCCAGTGGTGGGACCGGCACCCACAGGTGACAACTCTTCCTCTAGGGTGGGGGCTGTCCCCCCACCACTTCCCCAGCTCAGGCAGGTGAACCCAAACTGGTGACACTGGAGTTGGGGGGGGCAGGTGACAGCAGGGCCCTCCCCGGGGGACTGGGGCACAGGGTGAGCCCTGGACTGGTGGCACGTGGGGCACTTTTATGGTGACACATGTCACCCCAGCCCCAGGACAGGCTCGTGGCACCTGTCCCCCCCAGGATGGGTGTTCCCCATCCCCAGGGCAGGTGTGGGGGATGTGTGACCCTGTCCCAAGGCATGTGGCACATGTCACTCTGCATGGGGTGACTCTGTAGGGCCACCCAACCCACAGCACCACAAAGCACCAGGGGCCACACTGGTCCCTTCAACCACTGGTGACATTCAGCATGGAGGGGGACACCCCTGGTGACACTCGAGGTGTGTGTCTGTATGTGTGGGGACACTCCTGGAGACACTCAGCAGGGTGACAACGGGGGATGACATGCCATGCCCATGGCAGTGTGGGGTGTCCCCTCTGTGTGTCCCCCTTGCCTGGTGTCCCTGCCCCACACCGAGCCCCTTTGCCATGGAGACTGAGGGTGACCGAGGCTGTCCCCAAGCCAAGGCAGGAGGTGGCCCCAGCCTGGTGTGACAGCCCCGCTGGGCAGCCACAGCACCCACGGGTAGCACCACAGGGGACAGGGTGGGGGGTGACGGCAGAATGGGGGTGGCTGCACATCCCCAGACTGGGCTTCTCTGGTGGCTTCTTGTGTGACATACGAGCGACAGGCGGGGGGACACGGGGACCTGAGGCCACCGTGGGCACGGGAGGGGTCTGGATCAACCCCCATCCCTATCACTGTCACCGCAGTGTCCCCACAGCTGTCACAGCCACAGCCCTGAGGTGCTTCCCGGGCAAGGGGACACCTCTGGCTCAGAACAAGAAGCCACCGTTGTCACTGGGTTTGGGGACATTAATATA